CTAAGATAAAACGGTTCAAAACTTAATCTAACAATTGGACAATTTTGTTGTTACCCGATATATATATATATATATATATATATATATATATATATATATATATATATATATATATATAACAGATAGAGAGAGAGAAACTTAGGTCTCTGGCGTCCGCTGGATTTTAAATTCACCCTAGTTCAAAAACTATTTAATATCCAGCACTGATGAAGGTTACAGGAGTAGCCGAAAATTTTGAGATTTCTTCAAAATTTTAATGTGCTCCTATTAAATTAAAAAAAACACAAAATCCTTTATATATATATATATAGAGAGAGAGAGAGACAGACAGACAGACAGACAGAGACATAGAAACAGACAAAGAATTTTTGTAATGAAATAGCTCACTTATATATCCAATTATATATCCAATCCTCAGCTGATATATTGGTGACCTAAATCGGTATATATATATATATATATATATATATATATATATATATATATATATATATATATAATTTAGGGCTAGGACCACTTTGTTGGGGCGCCGATTACTCATTCAATAATAAATAAATGAATAATATCAAAAAATAATTAAATATAAGTATTCTTAAATAGAAACTGAAAAACAAATGTAACATATTTAAACTACCATTTTCCCTATAAGAAATGGACTTCTGAGTATGATCATCAAGTGTTCTAAGCTTGGATGTGCGGGTGGTGTAATTCATAATGGTTCGAACATGAATATCGTCCTTGGTTCGATCCATTGCATGATTCTTAATTACGATTAATTAATTAATGAATCATCATCGAGCCTAGATGGGTAACTTTGGTAATACCAGGTTCTGTAAGCTTGGATGGTGTAATGGATAATGACTCGAAATTGTTAATCTGAGAGCCGATTTCAAATCCCCGTTGGGTTCTTTATATTCAATTAGTTATGTGCCATGTGTGAGATACGTTCAGGCGATCATGTATCTTTCAATACATGACTAACGAGGCAGATTTTTTTTTCCCGCAGTAGGTTGCAAATTCTTTCTTCAATAGACCAGTTTACATCCAGGCTATAGAAACCCGGTTTGTCCTGATATTTACCCATAGCTAGGTGGGGAGAACAAGAGTATTCATACCTTTCCCATAAGTAAGTAAGAGAATGTAATGGATTCGACTGGAATTCGAACTCGACTCTCTGATTCCGATCCGAGCCATTACTTACGCGCAAATACCCTCGAGAAAGGTATGGATACACCTTTTCTCCACCCTGCAGCTACTTGTATCACTAAGTCATTATCGCCAGAAAAAAACTCTGACACTCTAAACATATATTCTAGCTTTAAATAACCTGCAAAGTGCTGATAAGCCGTAAAAATGAATTAATGAGTATGTTAAAAAAAAGTACAACCAAAAGATTAACAAAATTCCTCGCAGCACGACAAGAAATTAAAAAAATACACTGTGTAGTGCTGCTCTTCTATACAAGAGACTATTATCAAAGTAATAAAAAAAAACATAAACACTGTATATGTTAAATGTCATTTAACGTCAAATTTTAAGCAAACAATATACATACTTACTATATAGCCTCGGTTTCAGTTCAATCAGACAGTTGTCATATGTGATACACTTTGGGCGATCATGTCTCTTTCGACCCATGACTTACTAGGTAGAAGATATTCCCGCAGTAGACTGCCGTTACTTTCTGTGGTAGACTGGTTGTCAATCAAGGCTAAAGAACCCACTCTATACTGCTATTCAATCCCTAGCTGAAGGAGAAGATATAGTTCACAAGTGTATTTGAGCATAAGTGAATGGGACAAACTCAAAAGAAATTCGAACATGGCTGTCGAATTCATTCCATTCACTTACACACAAGGTCTCATGTAAATGATTACGCTAAGAATAATAATATAAATAATAGTAATTTTGGAAAAAAAAATACCTTTTACACATCGGCTACAGTGGTTTAATATATGCCTGGAGAAATTTCCCCTAAAAACTGTCGCACGGTGATCGAGAAACGTGAGAAACCGCTTTGAGCTATGTTCATGTCTTTATTGCTTTTTTTGTCAGTCAACTGTAATATGTTTTTAAAAACATTTGGTAAAATTTTGAACCGAAGAAAATGGTTTGCAAATGACCTTATGTAAAAAAAAAAAAAAAGAACATCGTTCAGCCTTTAAAACTTACTTTACTTTTCTTTATCGCTGAAGGAATATCTAGGTTTCGTTCAAAATTGCTCTAAAGCAACAACAATCGCATCAAGTTTTAAAACAGCTTTCCATATCTCAATTTAAACAGAATGTAGTCAAGACATCTTCTTTAATAATTGGTGAGTCTAAAAGTTTCCGACAAAAGTATACTGCTTATTTAGTTACTAATTTAAAAAGAAAAAAAGTGCTGAGAACTCTTGCACACACGGTGAGCAATTCTTTATTTAAATGACACATTGAGGTCGATATGACGTAAAACAAAACAAAAAAAAACTTTGTTTTCAATTAAATTTTCTTGTTTCTTTAGTTAGCTTCTGGGAGGAGCGGGTTAAAATACTGCCTTTTACTTCGCTCGCTTTGACAAAGGATTGATTTACTGAGAAAAAGTATTTAACATGTAACTGTAAAACTTGTCGGCATTAAATGACACATTGAGGTTGATATGTCGTAAAACAAACACAAACTGCTTCAACGTGTCTTAATGTCCGTGACACTAGCCGGAAGCAAACAAAAAGGTTAGGGATTTTGTCTGGTTGATATTGCTAAGAATTTGTAGGTAGAATTTGTAAGGGAACAAGTAGAATTATAAACTGAAAATAAGAAGAAAAATATTTCTGTGATGAATAAAGATCCCATTGAAAAAGCAGATATTCATTTTAAAATGGTAAATCAGATTGAAGATAATAAGTGATGGTAAACAGTTATTGTTTAATGGTCGCTACTTTAGCAATAATTATCCCTATACTCAAGATATTTGTAACTGTCTTGTTTTTTTTCCCCTAAACAAGGTGATAATGCCACTAAGATGCAAGGGCGTGTGAATATTGCCACCACATAAGACCCGATGCTTCTGCTGTATTTTTAGAGATTCTTGGTCAAATCCAAAGAAGAATCAGCAATATTATTGGTCAAGACCTGGCGTCTCAGCATCAGTCACTTTCCCATCGCCGTAAAGTAGTTTCCCTGTGCTTTTTCTGTAAATACTTTCATGGAAATTGTTCGGACGAACTCTTCGCTATGATACATAGACTTTGTGTTATATAGGAATAAAATGCCGCTGCAGACGCTTGAGTTTGAACATAGATCGCCAGTGAGCAAACACAGGCGATCCCATTATTAAATTAAGTAGACCACGTCACCAGAGAGGAAAGGCATATATGTAGGAAGTAGCTGACTAATAACGTTCGCTATTTCTATTCTATCCTCTATTACTATTCGAATCATCATTTCTAGTCTATCCTCTATTACTATACGGACCGCTATTCTCTATACTATTTTACTATACGGATTACTATTGGAGCGGGTATTATCGAGCAAGTACTATTAGTGCGAGTGATAATCGAAAGCGTCTGACACTAATATTATTCAACGGCGTTATTATAGTTGTATCTGCGATTATAAAATCTCTACTGCAACGAGCATTACAAAAGTGACAACGAGTATTCGTTGGCATTACAAAAGTGGTAACGAGTGTTCGTTGACATCACAAAACTTTGTGAATTTAAACGCAATACTAGATTGGCGGCTAGGTCTCATCATTGATTAGATTTAACCGTAAGTTCTATGTTAACAGTTTCTTTTGCCGCAGTTTTCTCTAGAAATCTCTTACGGAACCATGCTATCTAGCCAAATTTGATTGTCAAAAATTTAAATGCAATGTCAATCGTTATCTACTATCTTCTTGATTACTCTTCTATTGTTCTCGCTCCTTAATAATGTTTCTTTCTTTACTTCGTACTCAGTAACTCATTTTGTTTTAGCGGCTTGACTGCCTTGCATGGGGTGATATGATTTAAAAAAAAAAGGCTTTAGTGAGTAGAAAGTATAATAAAAGAACAGATTTTAGGAAAACAGAAAATGAAGATTATAGGTAGCAAGGAAGTAAGAAGCTGGAAGAGTTCCACAGGCAAGAAGTGCGAAAAAAGCTATTAGTATAAAACTAAGGCTGAAATGCAACGCTATATTCACAGAACATCTCTATATTAGATATTTCTCGGGATGATAGTACAGACGTGCTCGCCATTTGACGACGATATCGTGATAAAGTAATCTTGATTTCGAGACGAGAGCTCTCAGCTCGGTTCGGTGCTGGGCGGACAAACTACTGAGCCACCAGTTAGCCATCGTATGTTCTAATCGTGGAGCCAAATCAGCAAGTGCCGAGTGGATGATTTAAAACTCCATGACTCCGAGCAAAATGCGCATGTGTGCATCAAACTGTATCAGTGAGTGTCTCTATATATGTGGCTTTCGTATTTGTTCCTCATTTCAACTGGAAACAGGCGAAGAAACGACAATTTAAGGAACTTAAGTCATGTGAAAATAATGATTTTACAAAGCTCTTCCGAATTTCGTGTCGGCCGGAGCACAGCCCAGTAATGTATGGCATTATTCCGCGATTTTAAATAGCGCTAACGTTTACGATTTGTCCCCGTCTCCTAAGAAGACAATAAAGAAAAACAACTGACAAGTGAAATATTCACGCACCAATAGAAACTGTGGAAGCTTTTTGGCCGTAGGGAAATTTTTGTATCTTCTACTCACTTGCGTTTCTTTGTTTCTTTCTTTTTTTGTGATATATAGAACATATACAGACATAGAGATTGATAATCTTTCGACAATTTTTCTTTTGTTTTTGTTTATGTGTGTATCTTGACCCTTTCTTTTGCCTTTTTTTTTAGCTTTCTTTTCTTTTGTTTTCTTTTTTTCTTTTTAAGTTCATATTCCTCCTTTTCATGCTTTTTCTTTAGTCTTTATTTTATTTTCTGTATATATCTTGAACCTTTCTTTTTACGTTTTTTTTAGCTTTTGTTTCTTTTCTTTTTCTTTTTCTTTTCTTTTTTCTTTTTCTTTTCCTTTTCATTTCTTGTCTTTTTTCTTTCTTTTCCCTTTTATTTTCTTTTTTCTTTTCTTTTTTCTTTTTCTTTCTTTTTTTTCTTTCTTTTCTTCTTTCTTTTCTTTTTCCTTTTCTTTTTTTCTTTCTTTTTTTCTAGGTTCATATCTCTTTTTCATGTTTCTTGTTTTTTTTTCTGTTTTCTGGATGTATCTTGAACCTTTCTTGTTACATTTTTTAGCTTTTGTTTCTTTTCTTTTTTCTTTTTCATTTTTTGTCTTTTTTCTTTCTTTTCCCTTTTCTTTTCTTTTTTCTTTTTCTTTTCTTTTTTCTTTTTCTTTTCTTTTTCATTTCTTGTCTTTTTTCTTTCTTTTCCCTTTTCTTTTCTTTTTTCTTTTTCTTTTCTTTTTTCTTTTTCTTTTCTTTTTCATTTCTTGTCTTTTTTCTTTCTTTTCCCTTTTCTTTTCTTTTTTCTTTTTCTTTTCTTTTTTCTTTTTCTTTTCTTTTTCATTTCTTGTCTTTTTTCTTTCTTTTCCCTTTTCTTTTCCCTTTCTTTCTTTTCCCTTTTCTTTTCTTTTTTATCTTTTCTTTTTTCTTTTTCTTTTCTTTTTTATATTTTCTTTTTTTTTTTTTTTTTCTTTTTCTTTTCTTTTTTCTTTTCTTTTTCTTTCTTTTCTTCTTTTTTTTTCCTTTTCTTTTTCTTTCTTTTTTCTAAGTTCATATCCCTTTTTCATTCTTCTTCTTGTTTTTTTCTGTTTTCTGGATGTATCTTGAACCTTTCTTGTTACATTTTTTAGCTTTCTTTTCTTTTTTCTTTATTTTTTTCTGCCATTTCTTCCTTTTTTTTCTTTCCTTTTAGGTTCATATCCTTTTTTTTTTTTTCATGCTTTTCCTTGCCATTGTTTTTTTCTGTTTTCTGTATCCATCCTAACCCTTTCTTTTTACTTTTCTAGCCGTCTTTTCTTTCTTTCTTTTTCTGTTATTTCGTGTACGTTTTCTTTTCTTTTCTTTCTTTCTATGCTCATATTCCTTCTTCATGTGCTTTTTGTCTTTGATCTTTTTTCTTTATTTTCTGTTTCTTTGTATTACATCAAATCTTTCTTTTATTTACTTCGCATTTTTTTTTTTTTTTTCACTTCTACTCCGTTTTTTTTTTTTTTTTTTGCTGTCTTTCTTTCGTTTCCGTTTCTGGAAATAGGAGTTGCAAGAATGTAGAATTCAAACAAAGCCATTACGCCAGTAATAATAAGCACACTAGGGATGATTATAAAGAGTACAGTTCACTCCCAGAAGCACAAGTAAGCACCACTGTCACACTGAGAAAACTCTGAATTAACATGCTCAATATCTTTCTTAGATAAATCATTTAGGACTTAACAAAATCAAGCCAAAGTGTGTGAGGTCCCAATGAAAGTAATTTGAAGGTGATTAAATTAAAGACATATGGACGCTAGCTAGTTTGAATTCCGGTTCTGTTTCTTGCATTCACTTTCGCTCAAATACCCGTTGGAAAAGTACGAATGCATTTCTACTCCCTCCATTTATGGATTAAATCGTAGGGCAAACTTGGCTCTCTAGACGTGTTTGGTAACCACTGTTGGAAAACTGAATTTTGACTTGTATATAGCACTAATAAAACACAAGCTATGCTGCCATAGCAAGGACTATAGAGATTGGAATGACTCAAATGTAGTCGACGAGGTAAGGGAGTAAGTGGTGAGGCAACATTGTCCGAGGTAGGTTTATTTATTTATTTTTTTTTTATTAATATTACCTCACTGGATTCTTTGCGAACAGACTTCGTACTTAAGAGAAAATAGATGGATCTTTTATCTTCTGCCATTTTCTTCCATTAGTAATTATATATTTATTTGGATTTTTTAATTTGGTTTTTTTTTTTTTCGTCATGTTTTTTGTTTTTCCATTTTCTTCATTCCCTTTCCCGCCATTTTCATTTCCTTTGCCGTCCTGCTGTTCCATATCTAAAATCTCTTAGGCTAAAAGACTTTCCTCATGCCTTCCAATTGTGGATGGAAGAATCTTTGGCCGAAGGGAAATTCTTATATCTTTCTGCTCTACTGTTTATTTTTTCAGTTAATTCCTTTTGTTTTGTTTGGGGTTTTTTACTTCCATTTTTTTTCTTTTCTTTTTTATATCTTTTCTTTTTTTATCTTTTCTTTTTTCAATACGATTCCTTTGGCTCGAGATCGTTTCATTGTTTCCATTCCTCTTAAACAATCAGATTTGGCTTCACTTCTGTGCGACATCTCTCATCAATTGTCTCCCGCTCGACATTTTTTTCTCTTATTTATACACAGTGCTAAATATATATATATATATATATATATATATATATATATATATATATATATATATATATATATATATTTCTTTACGTTAATCCGAGATATATTTTTAATTTTCTGTCATTTTTATTTTATTATTAACCATTGTTTGCTCCCACATAATACTAACACAGAGTACGGCTTATTTCTTGACCAGACGAGAATGATCGTTTGAATAATCCATCCAGTAATGATAACATTTCATCTCTGTTATATAGGAATAAAGTGTCGTTGAAGAATGCTAGTGTCAGACGCCTTCGAATAACACTCGCACTAATAGTACCTGCTCTATAATACTAACTCGAAAAGTAACCACCGAATAGTGATCCGTATAGTAATAGAGGATAGTGTAGAAATAGTGATCGTTTCAAAACCACGCTAATTCCCATATATACATTTCCTTTACCATCACGTGATCTACTTATTCAAAATGGGATCGCCTGTGTTTGCTCTCTGGTGATCTGTGTTCAAACTCCAGTGTCGGTAGCGGCACTTTATTCCTATAAAACAGTCTCCGAACCACAAACAACGTAGACTAAGTTCATTTAATACCCTATTATAATTTTGCTTATTTTTTCGTTAGTTAGGATGTGCGGATGGTGCAATGGAAGGCGACTCGGAATGAGAGCTCGGAGAGCCGTGGTCGAATTTCAGTCGGGTTCATTACATTCACTTACACACAAATAACCTTGGGAAAGATATAAACCCATCTCCTCCTCCAGATATGGGTTAAAAAGTAGGACTTGTATCTGAAGAAAATCATTGTTATTCTCTGAAAAAAAAAATTAATGCGATATACTCTCGCAAAAGCAAATATTCTTACAGTTCAAAATATGTTTCGGCTTTAAATAATACACAAAGGGTTAAAAAATAAAATAAAATAAAATGAATCAACCTCCGTTGGATAATAATTTATTAGGCGCATTACGCCCTGTTGTTACATCAGATGAATAATGGCTCATTCCGTTTTGGTTATTTTTTAAATGACGGAAGAACAGATATATTAGTCACTATGTTTAGTTATAGAAAGCTTATACTATAGCAAGTTAGGGAAGCTATCATATTATATGAACATGTTCAATATCTTTCTTAGAGTAATTATTTAGAAGAAAATCAACCCAAATTGTGTGAGGTACCAATGAAAGTAATTTGAAGGGTATTAAAGAAACATGGACGCTAGCTATTTCGAATTCCCGTTGTGTTCCTTGCATTCACTTTCGCGCAAATGCCCGTTGGTTTCAGTAGAGGGATAACCCCAGGTATTTTAAACTCGGGCAGTTTATTTAATCATTAAATTAAGAATTATGTTTCATCAGAAAATTCAAGTAGGAAAACCGTGAAATTTTCACGGGTATTACTTGTGAAAATTAATTTAATTTAAATTATTTTTATCAAGTCGACTCGAGAAACTTTTACTTTGCGAAATCGAAAATACTTTAAGGCTTGACTATCCTCAAATTTAGTGAACAAAATATAGAAAGTTGAAAAATAAATGACAGATACGAAATATCCGAAAAAATTGATTTTCGGATTGTAAGTATTTTTTTTTTTTTTTAGATAATATTGATTTAGTGATACAAGTCTTACTATTTAATTTATCACTGGGAGAAGAAGAGGTGGGTCCGTACCTTACCCAAGGGTATTTGCATGTAAGTGACTATAACGAATCCAACTGGAATTCGAACACGACTCTCCGATTTATCATTCCTATCCATTACACCACCGGCACATCCAAGTTTACAACACCGGGTATTCCTCAGCTGTCTATCCGAAAAAGTATATAAGTTGAAATATGGGAAAACCAGTTGGATGTTTGATTTTGTTTAATTTTCTTGTTAACGATTCCCTATTTAGGTAGGCACGGTAGAGTAATGGATAGCGGTTTGGAGTGAGGAATTGGAGTGTTTGAGTTCGAATTCCAGTTAAATCCATTACATTCACTTACGTGCGAATAATACCGTTGGGAAAGGGTATGAATCCTCTTCTTCTCCCCCCCCCAGCTAATAGCAGGACAGACTTGTATGGCAACTACCACAGAAAGAAATGGCAACCTACTGCAAGAAAAAAAAATCTGCCTCGTCAGTCATGTATCGAAAGATACATGATCGCCTAAGCGTGTATCATGCTTGGCACATAACTGACTGATTTAAGAACATTTTCAAAACAAACGAAAATTCTAAGAAAAATCTTTGCCATGGCAACATTAGATTATGTGAATTGAGCATGCTTCAAATCTCGACTGTTTTTTGTTTGCTTAGCGGCTGACTGAAAAGTGATACTAATTATACAGTATAACAATATCGCTAATAGTTTAATTTTTTTTACAATTATTTTTACTATAGAAATATCCCATCAGATTTTATTCTAACATCGGAAGAGGTGGGACTTGTTTTTTTTTTCGTTTTTTTTTTCGTTTTGTTGGAAGTTTTCTGTTCTTTCGTTCTTACCTTTCTTCTGCTCCGTCTGACGATGATGGACAGCCATTTTGAAATCCCTGCAGTGCACGAGATTTTGTGCGTGCGTTGATTACTTAAATATTCCCTTTGGAAATTGCGAAACTGCTTTGGTTTTATTGTTTCAAACTGCGGGTCCGTATCCGCCGGGAACGATTGATGAGTCAATCAGAAGGCGCCGAGCAATGCTTTAAAAGCCAATAAGAACACAATTCAGGCTGCTTTAACCTTTTCAACGCCATTGACGAGATAACTCGTCTATGCAAGTTGTCAGTTTACTGCCACAGAAAAAAATGTCTTACGATTTCGTGAATATTTCTCAAGATGTTAAGATGTAAACAAATAAATATGCTTGTTTATTTTGGTGATACGACAATGAATAAATCTTTAAACAATGTGTAGATCCATGTAATGTAATTTAATAGGAGTGAAGAGATCGCCAATTGTCCGGTTATCACACGTCTCCGGTCTTTTGAACAGGAGTAGATGTTAATCACTTACTTCCTGTTTAGGATTGGGTTTCCGGTTTTCTTCTAAAGTTTTTTTCCATTGTTTTTCTCTCCCAGTAACACCCTGCGTCTTTGTGGCTTTTTCGCCTTGCTTGGAGCGAATTGATTAAAAAATGTTTTAAGATAATTGATACTTGCATTATTTACATTACTCGGACTATTATCTTCATGTTCATTGCCATATTCACATATTCAGTGAATAAAGACGTTGGTTAGATCCAGTGACTAGACCCCAAAACAACTGACACCCATTAGACATGGCACGTGGAACTAGAACAGTCTACCCCAGTGATCGAGATAAAGGGTTTAGTTCGACATTCCAACCACCTGAAGAAGGCCGGAGCGTATAACGACCAAAACGTTGTCATAAATATGAAGACAATGGTCCGAATAATGTAAATAAGATACATAATCCCTTATCTCAGAAATATAGACAGATAGTGAACATGAAGCTTTACCCGAAAAAGTGTCCTGTGCTGATTAGTAGAAAACATTTTGTTCTCTATGACGTTGCAAGTTCACATCCGGTATGAATAACCCGGAAATAAATTTGGAAATTCATTGGTCTGTCCTACCTCATCCGCCATATTTCTGTGATTTTTCACAAACCGTTTGTTATATTTTGGATCGTTGCAAAACGCTTTGATGAGGAAAAACATTTCTCTAATGATAACAAGATTAACCCTTTGGAGTCAGACCTTCATTTGTAGTTTCAGTGCCAAGACGGAGTCCTTTTCACGTGCCTTCACTTGGAACACAAAAAAATCGATGTAAAATCACAGAACACGGCAAGCTATCATAGAAACCGCCATTGAAAGGCCCAGACATGCAGGAAATATGAGAAGCAATCTGATTGGTTGGTACGAAAACCAGCCAGCTAATCTCGAGGCTTGTATTATCGAGCCGACGGATCGGTGCAGTCGTCTTCTTCGTTATTCGACTTTTCAGCCGATAGATCGGCCCTATTGTCTCCTAATTATTAAATAGTTCCTCGAAACATTTTGCACATTAAAAGCTGCAGAATTTTACTAAAAACGTATCGACGATCTGCGTGAATAGTGACATATCATTGCAAGTGATATTTTCTTTATTTTTATGTGCCGTGTCCTTTCAGGACGTAGGCGATCATGGCTCTCCACTTCCTGCTATCCCTTATAGCCCTCAATAAGTTTCGTCCATCTGCCACCTCCCCCAGACCACGTTCTGTAATCCACTTGCTTAAGCCCGCCAGGCATGTCATGCGTTGCTTTCCCTTGTCTCTCTTTCCTTTTATTTGACCTGTGAGTATCAGATTCTCCAGTCCCTCCTTTCTCATTACCTGTCTCATAAACTTCAGCTGCCTTTTCCTGGTGTTAAGTATAAGCCTCCTCCTTATTTGCATCTTCTCCAAAACTTCATCGTTGCTCATACGCTCGGTTCATGATATCCTCAGCATCCTTCTGTAGAACGACATCTCTGTTGTCTTGGGTGTCTTTTTCATCTTTGAAGTGACTTTCCAACATTCACTGCCGTAAAGGAGGACAGATATCATGAAGAGATTATTTCTGACTCCACGTGACCCCCCAAAAATATATTATTTCAACGAATGTCTTTTATCTTCGTTTCATGAAATAATTTAAAACTGAATTCCATTTTTATAAATCTCTATTAGAAAGTTGAAATAAAATAGATTTTTAAGCATTTTTTAACAGATTTTTAAGCATTTTTTAACAGATTTTTAAGCATTTGTCTTTATTTCTGAGATGATGTATTTTAACTATTTACACTGTTCAGACTGCTGTTTTCATCTCTGTTGTCATATTCCCAACGTTTCAGTCGTTGTACGCTCCGGCCTTCTTCAGGGGATATACGTTTGAATTTATTATTTATTAAGTTCACAGGGGATATATTCTTCTAGTTCCACGTGCCAT